AAGGCAAGAGAGCCATGCATGGCTGCATGGACCGGATCACGTGGACACTTGCAGAAGAACAATACCGGTAGTGCGTGGTACCCTAGTCGTTTAGTCGAGCGATGATGATAATGACACCATCTTTCGCACGAGTTCTATGAATATTTGGTGGAAGTTGACGGCAGCTTACGGGTCGCCGTGGTTCGACCTTGAGAGGTGTGTATCCCAGTAGCCACGTCACGAAACCAGTATGAAGACGAGACGCTGGCTTGCCCGTGTCGGTCCGAGAAGCCAGGCGTGACAAGCTGGGTGGGCCCCCATCAGACAAGCTACCACGTGGAACACAACCATTTCCTTGTCCACCGTAATCACACTAAACAGCTGGTGTTTTCGACTAAAAGGCTACGAGGGTTTTGCCCAATTGCCGCAACTCGGATCGGTTGTCGATCATTCATCGATAGCTTTGAACGGGAATCTCCAAAAGACGTGAAAGGCGACGGAGACCATAGGTAGCGATAGCGTACACTTCATGCAAATGACAACGTTGCACAAGTACCCGCGCGTCCGTCTACCTGTGCCGTGCTTGGATTCTCTTCCTCGAAGGTTCGCCGCGTTGGCTTCAACGAAGTTTGAGGTGTAGATACCCGTAGCCTCGGATCGATCATCCTGCTGATGACGTATTGCCTTCGAGGCTCACTCCGGCGTACCTCGGCACAGCTTCGTCAAGGATCACGCGTGCGACGAATCCTCGAGGCGTGCGCAGTCCACGCGCCAAGATAGGGTCCCGTTGTCGAATGGTCCCAACGAGCCGGTGGCAGGACCCTCCAGCGAATCATACGCCGCGCCACCTACGTACGATCTACCCAGGAGCTGCTTCTCTGCAGACTTACGGTTGGTCACGCACCTTATCGGCGCTGTCCGTTGCCGACAACAGCGAGCTACAAAGCGGCTCGACCTCTGCCCTTCGCCCAGTACACATTCTGGTGTCTGGTGCCGCCGAGTAAAAATGGACGTCGTGTCGAGCTAGATTCGATCGTACTGTGCATTGACGTTAAGTGCCAAGTTAAAAGTTGAGATTCCTAGTCTGGCCAACGTTGTCGCCAGTTGGTGTCGTAGACGCCGTTGCAGCCTCGGAGTGGGTTTTTGGGAAAAACCCATTTTAGTCAGTCGATCCCATCTCTTGCGTTGGGTCCGTTTAGTCGAATGGCAGCGTGATGATGGCTGGATCCCACGCGCTGCGTCTGTACCGCGCGATCTTCGAGACGTCTGCGCGCTTCCCGCCGCTCATGGCCAAGAAGATCCGCTTCAACGCGCGCGAACTCTTCCGCCTCCGGCGTCACGAGACGAACGCGGCCCGATGCAAGCGCTTCGTCGCCGACGGCTGGGCCGACGTCGCGACACTGGAGACCATTGCGTCGTCGCCGCTCCTGCGTGCAATCGACCGCAAGCCGCCCGTCGCGTAAGCAGCGCAACGTAATCGTCGTCATTTCTATTATAACTACTGAATACAGCAGACCTTGGACTTGGCGTTCTCGGCGGTGGTCGCGAGCACTTGCCACTTGGCGTCGGCTTCTTGGAGCTGGCGCTGCAGGGCCTCGCGCTCGCGAACATCTGCCCGCGCCTTCTCTTGCGCTTTCTATCGAAGTCCTATCAGATGCGACGGCATGATGCACAGCGACGCACCGCAAGCTCGCTGGACGCTGCCTGGCTCTTCTCGGCCTGCTTGCGCAGCTCGTCCTCGTGCGACTTGACTTGGGACACAAGGTTGGTGAGCTCGGCCAGGAGCGCGTCATTACGCCTGCGCTCCTTGTCTGCCTCCTCCACCATGCTCGCATGCTCGCGCCCCAGTTGCTCCATGAGCGCCTTGCTATCATTCTACGCCACCGGTGGCGCTGCCGCTTCTATGCAGGCACGCGTACCGAGGTCGCCGCCGGTTCGGTAGCTGGTGCCATCGCGAAGTCGTCCGTCTTGGCGTTGCTACAAGCGACATGAGCAAATGATATCTCGGGCCGCGCGCACCTCGCAGCACGCACGCGCACAGAGAAGACCAAGACGTCCGTACTCACGTACTGAACGAACTCGCGGTTGACGAGGACCTTGATCGTCTACGAAAATTTCGAGTCGTTGGGAGTGCACACTATCAACCTCTTCGTGGGTCAAGGCCGTCGTCTGCGCGTTGGCTTGCCCAAAGGTGTACTCGAGGCAGTACTGCTGCTGCTTGAGCGCGAGTTGTGTCGGCGGTTTGTCAACAACAAGGTGCGTGGCCAGCGAGAGCCAAATGAACGCACCGTCGAGCGACTCGAGGCTCTCGACTTCGCTGTCAGAGAGATCGTCGACGTCGTCGGGCACGCGCTTGGCCGTCACACCGCGATTGTCATTGGTCACACTGGGCGTCGTGCTCGGTCGAAGCCGTACGGCGAGCCGCCCCAGTGCCGACCCGTCGTCGGCAAAGATGGGCACGGTCACGTCAACGTCGAGCCTACGTGATACATAAGTACGTAGTGTACACAACAGCTATCGTACATGTGGCGGAGCGGACGAAGTCCCACGAGCGCCTGCCCGACGTCATGGCTGCTCTCCATCCCGCAGCCGTTGGACCCGTTTCATTCGGAACCCTACCCCGCCCGACCATTGTTGCGTCACATCTTGTCACCAAAGTACAATATTGTACAGTAATCACCTAATCCCTCGTGGTTAACGGTACTGATCCCGGGCCTCCTGCTCAACTCTCCAACATCGATGGGCGCGTCGAGCGTGTCCGCTCAGGCCATCATCATGCGTCGCGTCATCGCGAACCAAGACACCGCTGGGTGCTTCAACAGTTCCCAACGGCCCTCGATGCAGAATTGAATTGTATCTTAGCGAGGCGGCAGGAGCTTGGCACTTGCGGCCCGATCGGGTGCTCGCGGGGCCAAGGCAGCGACACTCTTGGAATTCCCATGACCCATAAGATCGTCAAAGGCTCGACCACCGCACTTTGCGTGAAACGACGCATCGGACATGACCTTGAGCAGGTTTTTTCGTCGAAAACTCTACGCGCGTTGCGTGAGCCTCCAGATGTGGTAATGCGGCTGTACGCTCGGGGTCTCGAGGTTGGAGCTCGACGCGACTTGAGACGAGAGCAGCATTGACGGTGTTGGCTCGAGCTGCCGATCTAAGCTCTTCTCCGAGAGACCAGCGTCCACGTCCAAGATGGACCGTGTTGCGACGCGCTGGACGTACTCGAGGCTATGGATCGACCGGCGGCGCGTATGGAAGGCAAGCCAGTTCTTCCCGAGCTCGTGATTTTCGTAGCCGCGCAGCTGGTGCGCGACGAGCTTGTTGACCTACAATCGACGACGTTGGTATATTCGAACAGCGCAGCGTGCGTACGAGCTCGTGGCGCAGTGGCTGGTAAAAATGAATGTCGCCGCTAAAAGCCAAAGGCACGACCTTGATCGTGCGGGGCGTCAAAAGCGTCTTCTTCTTCAGGTGTTGCACGCGCTTGGCGTACATGCGCCGCATCTCGTCGTCGAGGACAGCGTGAATCGAGCTCGCGCCACCGGTCGCGATGAAGAGTTGGTAGAATTCGATGACGGAGTACGGCGACGCATCATGGTGAAAGGCAACGCAGGCGCGCCACGCCTGAAGCACTGCGACGCCGATATTGTCGTGGACCTCGACGCAGAAGTCGAGAAAGCTCTCAAAGTACTCGTCGATCTGCATGTATGTGTCCAGATTGGCCTACGCATATCCAAGAATAGGAACAAATCGATACCAACTATCCAGCTATCCAGCAAAGAAGACGTACTTGTAGCGAGACGCTACCTCGAATGCGCTGGACTTGGTGGCGGCCGCGGTACGCACCGATGAGCGGAAGTAGAACGTTTAGGGTGACGACGCCTTGCAGCGCAAGCGCCCAGAGGAGCTCAGGAACATGGTAGGCCTCGAGTGACACAAGCGTCTCGAGAAGCACGTCGATGAGCGCGAGGAATCCGAGGAGCAGCATGTAGAGACTCGTGCGCGTGAACGATCGGCGCAGCCGAAACGTGTCGAGCGTCGACCGGAGTTGGTACGCCACGTACAAAAACGTCAAGACGAGCGCGAGAGCTTGGACAAACTGGACAATCGACTGCGTTGTATACACCGGCAACTAGACTCGGTTCCATAGACACTTCTGTCCACAGAGAACGACTCGTACCTGCACGCACTCAGCGTACGAAAGCGGCTCGAGGGCTTTGCTGTGCAGCGTCAAGAGAATAATTTGCGGTAAATTCCACGTAATGCTCGCGCAGATACCCAGCGGAATCTGGACCGTCGGGATGATCATGCCGCGAAACGAAGTCCACAGCGCCGCGCGCTCGAGCGACACGTTGGTCGGCGACGTAATGATCTCGGTGATGCCGTACAAAACGAGCACGGTAAAGGCCGTCCAGACAAGCACGAACGCTGACGTCGCGCACGACAGCTGGAGGACAACGAGTGCGAGCCTGCGCCCGTAGCTGTGCAATCAAACGTAGCACACTTCAGCGTCGTACCTGCAGTCAATACTTGCTCCGTAGAGGACGCAGAGCGGCTGGGCGAGGCAAAAGATGGTGGCGCACATGCCGGCGATCGCCGTGCCTGTCGGCATGCGGTGGCGCAGACTCGGGTGGTGCTTGAAGTACACGTAGAGCGCGACAGCAAACGGCATGTAGAGGCAGCTCGCCCACACGACGAGCAGCGGGACGAGCTCCGGTGGCACTCGATCCATGCCTCGGTTGAAATAGACGCCACGAAAATAGCAGCCAAAATAGCCAGCTATGGCTCGCTCATAGTATGAACGAACCCGCTTAGGACTGGACTCTGGGATGCTCGGAGTCCTTGACGGGCACATGTCTTATCGCACTCTCTTAGCTCGCAAGGTACACAAATGTCCACCCATGAATGACCAACGTAGTATCGATCGTACTACAGTATTGTGATGGGGCCATACCAAGGGATCCCTTGGGCCAGGCCACAAAGTAGGGAGAAAACCTCTGCCCTTTGGAGATACTAACACTGCAGCGTGACCGTGATTACACGGCAGGTCCATCGGCGTCATAATAGGACTTGGGCCGCACGGGTTGAGAGGTGTTGAATTCTTGATGGGACTTTGCGACCCGTGCAATACTGAGATGAAGTCGATGAAGGTCCTGGGTGGCGTGTTTTTAGCCAAAGCGTTTCAAAAAACCGATTGCATGGGCCCGTGGTCGCGGGTCGTGGCGGCCCTAGACGCGCTCGAGGCGGCCTTGGGCCCGCTCCTCGTCGCGACCGGTCTCTGCCTCTCGGCCTTTATGCTCTACGCCTTCCTCTACGCGATGCTCCCGCCTCTCTACGCGCTCCACGGCGCGTGCATCGCGTTCGGCCACGGCGCGCTGGGGCTCTTTCTCTTTGCGCAAATGCTTTGGAACCACGTGTCGTGCATTCGCAGCAGCCCCGGCGAGATGAGCTTGATGCCCACGATCTACGAAGATGCGACTCTGTGCGACTACTGCAACGCGCCGCAGCCACCGCGCTGCACGCACTGCCACGCGTGCGAAGCGTGCATTCTCGAGCTCGACCACCACTGCGTTTGGATGAACAACTGCATTGGCTACTACAACTACCGTACAACAATCACATCAAACACAATTTTTAAGGCGGATTATGCATAGGGTACTTTTGGCTCTACCTCCTCTACGGCTGGCTCAACTGCGCCCACGTCGCGTACCTTGCGGACGCGGCCATGGCTCAGCGCTCACCGGACCTCTCGTTCTCGGACCAAGTGCTCTTGCGTTTCCCGTACGTGATCTGCGTCGGCTTGTCCCTCGCGCTTTTTACACTCTGGGTCGTCCATGTCTACTTGCTTCTCGCCGGCCAAACGACGTTGGATCTGCTACGGTAAGGTGCGTATGGATACAGGAGATGAAAGGGGCTGGGATGTAGGAGTGAGCCGCTGCGCAAGACGCTCTCGGTGACGGCGATGCGCCGAAACGTCGAGCGCGTCTTTGGCTCGCCGTGGTGGCGTGCGATGGTGTTGCCGACGCTCGCTCCGCGACCGGAGAAGCGCCACCGCAAGCTGAGCAGCGTCCACCACCTCGTTGCAGTGTAGATCCAATACGATAAGAAAATGCTGTTTGTAGTTGTCCACGTCGCTACTCATTGGGTTTATTACGCCACCTCAACCTAGTCGGATGCACAGATGCATCGGCTTTGGCCAAAAACGGAAGAGCGAAGTACAGTGTTTTCCCAAACGACTGCCCAGAATGTAGTACTTTTGATATTCCGATCGCGGTCCGACCTCGACCTCTGGATCGCTCTGCAGCTTATATTGTCCAGGATGCTGTTGACAACGAGAAACTTGGTGCGACCAGCGACGTGCCTCTCGCACTGGATGTTCCAGCCCGTGCGAACGACACCGCTTTTCACTGGACCGGATTCATAATTGTTTTCATTTCGCGCCAAAACGATATATTTTTGCATCTTTCCAGCAAGGTTAATGAATTATTCCCTTTGTTTCGAGGGACTTTTCGATTCGACAAGTTGGCAGGGGGTTGCTCTACCGGTATGCACACCACGCATTACGCACCCCGCTTACGCACCCAACCGCTTGCGTGCGCGCGGTGTTGCTTGCAACGAGGTCCGTTGACGCACCTGCGCTAAAGCATCATCGTCTTCTCCGTCGTATACCGTACTGCGTAGTGGAGTGCCGGTCGCTTTCTTTTTCGACCTCTTGCACGCCATCGCCGGGTCACCCAAAGTCGATTCGCGGTATCGCCAACGTCGTGGATCTTGGCGGTCATTGCGGCTCTTTGCCGTAGAGACGCGCTGGCAGCTGCCTCTAATGCCAAGCCGCTTCAACGATTTCGACTTGGCGTGTGCAACACTCGGCCACATGCCCACGCCTTTGCCTTGGCTTCCAGTGTTTCTCCTTCACAGAGTTGGAGTTGGCAAAGCTTGCCATGGCTCGATCGCCGCGTTGACAGCGACCAGCGTTAGCAACAACAAGGACCGACAAATATATATATATTTCAGAATAGTCGGCAACCGATCCTCTTCGCGACGACTGCACCATCGGTCGTGTCCTACGACGTGTCCATGCGGTGATGTCCCATCGTGGCGCGGTCTCCGGTCGGGTGGCCACATACCTAACATAAGCCTCTTTGCATCCGGATCCGGATACGGTGCCAGCCGCGGAACTGGCCTTGCCACTTTTGCGCTTTGTCCATCGCCGAATGATGCCCGACGCTGCGTTCCAGCCCGCCGAGAGCGTCAATGTGACCGTGGTCCTCGGTGGCAACGTCACGGGCAATGGCACGCTCCTCGGGCTTCCGCTCAACCTCGTCGAGACGCAGCGCGGCTGGTGCCTCTTCATCGCCGCGCTCGCCGCGCTCTTTGCGACGAGCCTCACGGCCTTCAACATGTACCAGCACCTTCGCGCGTACACGCGCCCGAACCTCCAGCGCTACATTCTGCGCATCTTGCTCATCGTGCCCGTGTACGCGATCGGGTCGTTCGTCTCGTTCAAGTTTGTGCGCGAGGCCGCACTTGTCAACGCGGTCCGCGACATGTACGAGGCGTTTGTCGTCTATAGCTTCCTCAACCTTGTCCTCGCCTTTGCCGGTACGTCATGATACGCAGCGAGAAGATAGATGCTAATTCATAGCACATGCGAGTAGGCGGCGAATCCAACTGCGTCTCCAAGATGGTGACCGAGGCCGAGATCGTGCACCCGTTCCCGTTCGGGTACTGCTTGCCGCCCATGGCGCGCGACGGCCGGCTCTTGCGCAACTGCAAGAAGGCGACGATCCAGTTTGTGTTTCTCAAGCCGACGATGGCCATCCTCTCGCTCTGTATGCTGGGCATTGGCCTGTACGACTCGGTCGGCTTTCAATGGTTTACATGGCTTGTCTATAACCTCAGCTACAGCGTCGCGCTCTACGGCCTGCTCATTTTCTACCTCGCGACCAAGCACATTCTCGCGCCGTTCTCGCCTGTGCTCAAGTTTTTTGCGGTCAAAAGTGTCATTTTCATGACATTTTGGCAAACGCTCCTTATTGGCGGCCTCCCGCACATAACAAAGGAGCAAGCGTTTGCCTGGAACGACTTTGTGCTCGCGCTCGAGATGGCACCGGTCGCGATTCTCTACTTTCTCTCGTTTGGCGCCGGCCAATTCAAGGTATCGGTTTTTTCTATCAATCTATCAATGGACTCATTTTGGTGTAGAACACGTGCGAAGCGATTCCGCAGTCGGAGGTTGTCAAAAATATGAAGGAAGTGCTGAGCGTCAAGGACATTGTGGCCGATGCGATCCACAACTTTATGCCGAGCTACCAAGACTACATGCTCCAGCGCGCCGACGACGAATTTCCGGAAAAAGTCCGCACCATGACGTTTCTTGCCGGCAATTTGGATGCGCCGACGCCGTTGGGGGCGACCAAGGACCGGTCCGAGAGCAACGACCTCCCGGACGAGCCGTCGTTGGATGCAGTTGTCGTCGCCATTGCGGACGCTGCGACGGAAGCAACAACAACGTCGACCGAGACCACTGAGCCGGCGGCGGTCGTCGCCGAAAGTAGTGAAAAGACAGAGGCCACGACGTATGCGACGCCCGACCACGACGACGACGAGGCGCTGGTGGACACGCCCCGACGACACTCGGACAAATCGAGCTTGCTCCAGCCGTAAAAGTGTTGTAGTAGGTTTAGGTGTAGTAAATATTAAATATATAGACGCGGGTCGTCGCGGCCGAGGTTGAAGTACATACACAGCGTTTATTTCGGGCATTGACAGAGTTTGGCCGTCGACAGGCGCCCTTTCGGGAAGGACCATCCGGAGTGGACGAAGCTCCTGCTTGGACCACACTGTGTATATGCTGCTTGGCGCACTGCGAACGGTTGGTGCTTCACTAGCTAGATAGACTGCGTCGTGCGGGGACTCGCCTCGGTCAGCACCAAGGGACATAAGACATTTCCCTTGGTCAGCACGGTCGAATGCTCCTCGTTCTGCACTAGGGCGGTGAGGCTCGTAAAGTCGTCGCGGGTCGCGAAGCGCTTCTATAGATAGACCAATGCCACGTGGATACTAGCTCCTTTATCGATCTTCGCCAGGGAGCTCGTCGTAGCCGTATGTCGGTAGATGTTTGTCTTTGAGAATCCACAACCCTGCGCGATTGGTGTCAGCGCTCGAGGCCTATCGGTAGCAGCCCACTCGTTCCACGCCAACTTCGATTGGGAAGTTAACAGGTCGTTCCGGACACGACGTTGTCGGCGTTCGTCAAACTGAGGCTGCTTCCCAAAAGAACCTGCAGCAAAGCAACGCATTGCAATTGTAAAGTCTGCAATAGGGTTGACTCCTTGATAGCGCCTCGCGCGATCTTGTTGTCGGCCTATGAATGAAATCTGAGTTGCACAGGCGCTGCCGTCGTTTGTGAATTCTCTGAATGGGCCGTTTGGTTGCATCCGAGACCTCTGGAAGTGCCACGTCATGTTGCTGAGCTCCAATCCCAAACCAGACGTGTTCGAAATACGACTGCACGACAAAAACGACGCGTGAGTCACACGCACGAGACTGCGACTCTACCGCCGTACCGCATCTATCCACAATAGCTCCTACTATATAGTACAATACTTCTAGTGCTTAATCAGCTGCTGCGTGCATGGAGACCGGCTGGTGCTCGCCTGCGCGTTCTTCGAAAAGGATATTTGCCGTGGGTGCGAGTGGTGCAATGTTCAGCCATTGTCTTCCGCGCGCTCGAGCTCATTATCCCATTTGCCGCCTCATCAGCACCACTGCAATGAAGTCTTACCTTGCCTCGCTCGCCCTCGCCCTCGTCGCCATCGTCGCCCTTCCGCAAGCGGACGCGGCGCGTGTCGTCGGGATGTACTACCCCAACCGCCCCGAGGCTCCCCGCATCGAAGACGTCCAACTCAAGGCGTCGACCCACGTCTTTTACGCGTTTGTGATTCCGAACGCGGACGGGTCGCTGCCCACACCCGAAGGCCTCGCGCACTTTGCTCAAGTCGTGCGCTCCAAGGGGGCCAAGCCTGTCCTCAGCATCGGTGGCGGCGGTCAAAGCGCCAACTTCCCACCGCTCGCAGCGTCTGCCGCTTCTCGCAACACGTTTGTACAGGCCGTGCGCTCGCTTGTGAACAAATACAACCTCGAAGGCGTCGACATCGACTGGGAGTTCCCCGACAGCGACAGCGACTTCAACAACTACCGCGTCCTCGCGCAGCAAGTGCGCCAGGCGCTCGGCGCCGGCAAAGTCGTGTCGGCCGCGCTTCCCGGTTGGATCTCGCGCGACCAGATGGCGCCGATCGTCAACGAAAGCCTCGACTTTGTGAACCTCATGCTCTACGACAACGTGTACAGCAACGACGGTCGCCCGAACGCAGCGCTGATGGGCGACGACAGCAGCGTCCAGTCGGCGGTCGGCAACTGGCTCGGTGCAGGTGTCCCTGCCAGCAAGCTCGTTGTCGGCGTGCCGTTTTACGGTTACGAAGGCAAGAAGGCAATCACATACCGTGACATCAAGCCGCTCGAGAGCTCCTGGGAATTCTTCATGAACGAGGCGTCGTTCACACCGCAGCTCGTCCAGGACGGTCGCACGATCACGTACGACAACCCGACGTCTATCACGGCCAAAGCCAAGTTCACCGCGTGCATGAACCTTCGTGGTGTGTTTGCGTGGGAGGTGACGCAAGACGACGCTGATGGCAGCCTCCTCAACGCGCTTGGTACTTCGTATCCGGGCGGGAATGGCAACTCGGACGCGTGCCTCGAGGAAGCCACGTCCACGTAAACATCGTGCAACGAGCTAACTACAATGCATTCGTTGTTTTATGTGTCAGTGAAACCAATCGTATTGCGTCAAAGTTGAAGTTGGTGACAGTTTCAGGTTCCAGAGAGCATGCCACGTCATGGTTTTGGTTCCAGTCACAATCGCGGCGAATGGTCGTCGCACTGGATACCAAAGTGCCGTTGCTCGACAGCTAGAATTGTACTGGTACAAGTATCTGGTATTAAATAGAGTACACGATCGTCTCAGGATTCGGTAGCGCCAGGCCATGGCGGCGACGTCGACCCGCCTGGTCGAAACCCATCGTCAAAGTACGGGTTCGTGCGATGCAAAATCACAATCTCCTGGGCCGATTTGGTAATGCGTGCCAAAGCGCTGCTGGCGTCGTCGGGAGCACTGGCGATCGTGCGACCAATCTGTTCGACGAAACGTGACAAAGCATCTCAGTACTGATAAGACGTACGCTCACCGAGTGCTGAAGTTGCTGTATGCACACATCGAGCATGTACCGGGCCCAGAGGCATGCAGGCTCCATGCACGACGGACCTTGGTCGTCGCACGCCCCTCGCCGACGACAATGATGGGGTGCGTCGTTGCGCATCGGAACATACACCTCGGCATCCACGCTGTCCACGGGCTCTAGTTGATCAAGAATCCAAGTGTGAACTCTCGAACGATGAGCGAGGCGGCGTACCGCAGCAGAGACTTGCTTGTTCCGACTCGGTAATCACCGAGTGACCACTCTTTCCGTACCGCGGGGATGTGAGCAGTGACGCGACGTCGTCTTCGTGCAACACGAGCGACGCCGACGACGACGAGGCATTGGAGGATGCCCGCCGCTTTTTCTCGCCTTGGAGTGACGTGCGGGCGTCCAGTGCAGTCGTCTCCCATCGGTGCCAGCGAGACGGTGGCACCGCGGCTTTACACTGCCGCAAATATGCAATCTCGTCCCCCGAGAGCCGATTCGACGACTTTCGGCTTTTGTTTTTAACGAGAAGCCGCACGACGCGCCGCTCATCGGGGCTTGTGGGCCGCGCTGTGTCCGGCAACGGAGCGACCTCCGTGAGCGCGGACGGAAGCTGTGGTGACATCTCGATCGCCAGAGCCATCGGTGTCGGCAGCGGATGTGTCATCTGGCATTGTGATGTCTCGGGCAAGCTTGCAGCGACGGTCACCGACAGTAGAGCGCTGACGTCGCCTTCCGCCTCGGTCGATGCATCAGCCACGCTCAATACATCGCCGTCATTCGATGCTTGTAGTCGAATCTCGGCATTGACGTAGAGCTTGGCGACATCGTCGTCCTTGACCCAGGCGCCGCTGGCAATAGCGTCGGGCGACGTCACGGCTTTGGAGAGAACGAGAAAGGTGCAGTTGGCTTCGCCCATGGTCTACATACATACGCCATGTACTCGTGGATGAGCCATAGAGCCATGGGGCGTGGTTACATGGGATGCGAGTTGGATGTGCACGGCAACGGACGTGTTGGCGGCGACGACGCCCTTGGACGGCTGCAGGCGGAAGCGCGACGACTCGGTGCATTGCACCTTGAAGACGACAGCTACCTCTTCGCCATTGGTCAGTTCCACTCGATGCTTCTTCTTCGCGCCAATGACAAAGACGAGCGGTGATGCGGCAGCGGCAAGCCGCAGGCCCTGCGCTGGCAGCATCGCCCGCGGATCTTGGGCGACGGTTCGGACGCGATTGGGTCAAAAATGTCAAGAATGCATCGGATTTCAGCCAATAAGATCTGATGCCAGTTTTTTGCACCCCGTTCTGATTGCGACGATGTTCGCTGCACAGCGCGTATAACGACAGACTCATAACACCCACAAGATGTTCTCTCGAGCAGCGTCCTTGTGCTGGCGCGGCCTCTCCTCTTGGACGCCACCGTCGCCTTTTGCAACGCTCGCAATCAATTGCATTGCTGAGCGGATTCTTCGTATCCGATGCAGCGATTGGTCAAAATATTGTGATGCGATGCCATTGGCTAAAAAGAACCAGTGGAGGTGTGCTGGTACCATTGCTCAACTTCCGCGTCTTCGTTGCCAGCATGGTTGTCCGTCTTCGCCTTGCGCGCTGGGGTCGCACGCATTCGCCCTTCTACCGTATCGTCGCCGCCGACGCGCGCTGCCCGCGCGATGGTCGCCACCTCGAGATCCTCGGCACGTACAACCCGATCGCGGCCAAGGACGGTGTCAAGGAACTCCGCGTGCACAACGACCGGGTAAAATACTGGCTGAGCGTCGGCGCGCAGCCGAGCGACCGCGTCTCGTTCTTGTTGGGCCTCGCCAACGTGCTTCCGATCCCGCCGTCGCGCGAATACACAAAGAAGAGCAAGAGCAAGCAGGCCGACAAGTAACGCGACCCTTCTCCATAGTGTGCGCGCTGTCGTCGCGCCCATCATCTCTTAATAGACCTCTTCTTCTGCCACATTCTTCGTCTTCGATACACCGCCCTCCCGCCGTCCGTTGTCTCACGCGCATGCGCCGGGTCCCACGTCAACGGGCGCGAGAGTCCATGTTGGAAGAATCGCAGAGTTCGGCATGAAGAAGGCAGGCAAAGAGCGCAAACCCTCAGCAACGACTGTCGTCAAATCTAAGCCAAAGCGATCGCAGCTGGCCGCCGCCACAACGCACCACGTGGACCCGGCGGCGACCGCGCACCTCGGACCGGCGGTCGTGCACGCCGACAAGACCACGCTGTACTCGGCGCGCCTCCACCGCGTATACGCTACCAGTACGATGGCCACACCTACCGCGTGGTGTAGGTGGATATCAATGCGGATGAGAACTGCGAGCTTCTTCTGCAAGTGCTGCGCACCGCCAACGGCAGCTACTTTCTCTGGGAGCGCACGACGCATGTCGAGCGTCACTACGGCCACGACGTTGCGCTCGACGTACGCAAAAGCTCTTGTACTGCAACGCCCACCGCGTGTTGCTCTAGGCGAGCGCTGCGAAATGCGCGGTCGCGGCAAATGTGGACGACGCCCTCCACAAGTTTCAAGCGGCCTTCTTGGCCAAGACGGGCATCACATGGCGCAACCGCTTCCTCCATGACGCCCGAGGCGACTACACGTACACCGTCCTAGAACTTGTGTGTTTCACGCCAGCTGTCGACATGCTAGCTTTGTGGACGTGGACCTCGGAAGTCCGCAGCACTTGACGTCCGAGGTGCGTCATATCATGGCCCTGCTGGACGAGTGCAACTTTCGTCCACGGACGCCGACGCCGACGCCGTTGCCGTTGCCGGTATCGCTTGCAGTCCACCGCCTATATGCGCAAACGGCTACGATGCTACTGCGTAGGTGCTGCTCTCCAAGCACACCCTCGACCGTGTATGGCTTTGCACAAACCTGTCCTTTGGCATAAGACAATGTATTAGGCCATCGCGCTCCTGGACGAGATGCGCGGCGTCTTGGCGGCCGCGCCGTCGCGCACGCGGCAGCGCTCGTCGCTGGTTTTGCTCTCGAGCCACTTTTACGCCCGTGACGAGACCGCGCTTGGGTGCAAGGGCTGACGCTCCTCGTTGTAGTCGTACCCCACTGCTTTGGACCCGAGCCCATTGGCCAGCACGTGCTCGACACGCACAGTCGCATCGACGCCATGGCCGAGGTCCTGACTACGCACTTTCTTGTATGCAGCGTCGATGGCTTTGCACGAGGAGGCTGACGTGGCGACCTAGGGCAAGCCCAAGGCGGGCCTCTCGGATCCGCTCCATGCGCAGTTCCGGGCCCTGCGCTGCGACTTGCAGCTGCTCTCGTTCGCCTCGCCCGCGCGCAAGCTCATTCAAACGTACTTCGACAATACCAAGGTGCCTCTCAAGTTCCCGCTCACGTTGCGCTGCGTGTACAAAGTCGACAAGCAGGTCGACCCTCGCAGCACGCTATAGGACGCTGCAACGAGGTGTAGATCGAGTCGGATCGCTTTCAAGCCTTTGCGACGCTGCACAACCGCAAGGTGCACACATGTGCGGGGCCGACGAAGGTTCACGCATGCATAGCTGCTCTGGCACGGCAGCGCGCTCAACAACTGGCCGAGCATTCTCCGAAGCGGTGCGATTCCTTGCTCGGTGCCGCTGATATCGTGCGGTCCAGGTCTGAAGATTGCACCGCCCAACGTCCGCACGAACGGCCAGAGCTTTGGCGTCGGCCTCTACTTTAGCGACTCGGTAAGACTGCGTTTTGCGAGGGAAGATGCTGCAACGACCCAGCGTAGGTGTCGCGCTCGGTGGGCTACTGCCATTCAAACAAGGTGGGGCTCCTTGCCCTCTGCGAGGTTCGCATGCGACCGTATCGCCGCTTCCTCATGCGGCAAAAGGTGGCGCTTGGCACATCGTATGTGACGGCGGCGTCGGACGCGTCGGTCAAGAGTCGCGTCGACGGTGTCGCCTACGACAGCGTCCACGGCTGCGGGTCGTTTCTCCCGGACTCTGGTTTCGACCACGTCATGCCAGGTGCGCTTCCCATGTCTTTCGACGGCGCATCATGACGAGGATGACGTAGATGGCGTCACGGTGCCCATGGGCAAGCTCGCGCGCCGCGACTTTGCGACGGAGAACGGGCTCGAGTACAACGAGTACATTGTGTACAACACGGCGCAAATGCGCATGCGGTACCTCGTCGTCGTCGACTTTGATGACACGCGCGTCCCGTAAGAGCTACACGACCTCGTCACTCTTTCCCGGTAATTTGAGCCAAGTTTATCGGTGTCTTGACAACGCGCTGGTCTCTGCAGCGTCTCAAAGGGGCTATGTGCATTTGGATTTGGCTCGCAAAATTCTGGGCTGCGGTTGCGTTCTTCTCGGACTGTACAGACGCTTTAGCGACCCACATTCGCCCAATCTCACTGGGTCGGAGAAGGACGTGTATTATGCCCCTCGTACTGCCCGTGGGGAGTCCTTGAAGTCTCGCTACAGAGTCGGGTCAGTGGGAGGTGGCTGCATCAACGCCACAGCGCTCTGACGATCTCACTTCCAGCACAACCACACCATTTTAGAGCTAGGAGCTCGGAATAGACCTTGTGAGGAGGTCCATTTCAATGGGCCGGTTGTCAGCGCGTGCGACGGCAACTGCAAGGTGGTTGTCGCCGCCATTTTCAGTGTATCCGGTCGCATCCGGATGTCCGATGCCCAATCAAACGCGGGCCATCGAATTCCTGGTTTCATGATGCTGCACTTGGCGCGGGCGCGGGGATCTTGGGCGACGCTCTTGGCCCGAGGTCGGTCTGCGTCGAGCGCTGTGCGCTTCTCGCCCGAGATGCACCACTTGCTCCGGCGCGAGAAGGTTCCGCTGCAGGAGGCCTTTGGTGTCCTCCAGTCGCGCACGTCACCGTACGACATCAAGGGCTGCGACGCGTTCTTCTTCTCGTGTCTCCAAGAGGCGCCGCTGCCACCTGCGTTTGTCGACCAAGTCGCCGCGTTCTTTGGCCAAGTGCTCGAGCACGACGCATTCGGGCCGCGCGAAGGCGCCTTCTCGTCCATGGTGGCGCTTCTGACACAGTCACGTCAGCTTCATAGGCATCAACCTTCTCCTTGTCCTCACTGTGGATGCTACGTAGACCGCACCGACTTGGCGCTCGAGCTGCTCAAGAAGAAGCACGCCAAGAACCCGGACGTACAGCCGCATTATCGATCGTACGCACCGCTGCTCGAGCACTACATCCACGGTTCGACTCTCGTCTCGTTGCGCTTGTTGCGAATCACCTTTCGTAGCCAACGAGCTTGAGAAAGCGTGGTCGTTCTGGGCGTATGTCAAGTCCATTGGCACGACGCAGCCGCCGGAGAAGGTTGGCCCAACCATGGTACGCGGCCACTCGGCCACGTGGCGGGTACGACATGTCCTAGGTCCTCTTTGCGTCCAAAGCACTCGGCGTCGACCAGTGTATCTTTCATAACGTACTGGGCGAGCTCAATGCGCTGCGGTATCAACTGATATCCGACGACGTTGCGCTGTGGATGGCGACGACGAGCGACCGACCAGGCTACGTCACGACGCAGCTCGACCACGCCGCGATGCTTCCGGTGCGCTTGGCTACAATGTATGGTCGCGTCAATGGCGTGCGATTAGACATGCGGACACTGTGATGCGACCTTGACCAAGCTACCTGTGACGCTCGCCGAGCTCGAGGCGCTGCTGCAGGCCGTCGAGACCATGTGCGTCGAGAGCCAGTACATCCCGTCCGACCCCAAGGCCACGCCACCGCCGCCGATGACGCGTGAAACCAAACTCAAAGCGCTGCGTGCATTTGAGAAATGGCTCGCAACCCGACACGCCATGGTACAGTACTCAAAACGTTGTCGATTTGTTGTTGAGTTGAGAATCATTAGGTACCACCGGGGAAGCTACACTACATCGTCGATGCGCCCAATGTCGCGTACCTCAACCAGAACTTTGAAGGTGTGTTTGCTGTTACCAGAGACATTGAACGATCCTGTTGGTAGGCGGCGCTTTCCGCTTTGATTACATTGACCAGCTCGCCAAGTCCGTCCAAGCCGAGGGCCACGTGGCGTCGGCGACGATGCCGGCCTACTATTTCGAAGAGGTCTCGTACTTGAGTGTCAAGACCGCCAACCGCAACTCCTACGTACGTCCACCTCTCGTAGCCGACGCACAAGTTGTCATACATTGGGTAGAAAAAGTCGGGCACGCGGTACTTTCGTACGCGCACGGCCGAAGACAAGGCCTTTCTGGACGCGTGGGCCACCGACGATTTTGCGTTCCCCGCGCGGCGAGAGGTAATGCAGACAACTTGTCTTAGCATGTATGCTCCATCTGGTGTAGGTGGCGTCCGATGACCTCTACTGGATGTATGCAACGTTCTACCTCCTGAGCTTGGACGCCAAGGCTGGCGTCCATGGCCACCGCGTCCGCGTCGTCACGAACGACGAGATCAAAGATCACATTTTGGCCCTGGATGAGAAGCACAACATTCGACGGGACCTCGTCGAGCGCTGGAAGGACGCCACGTGTGTCGGCGTGAGTTTGAACTTTGAGAAAAAAGTGGCTCAAGTTACGCTGCACCACCCACTGCCGTTCTCACGCGTCGTGCAAGACCATGGCGAGACGTACCATTTCCCGACCACGAACGGTGCCACTTGGCTCTGCGTATCGCCGACAACCCGTGCCGTCCACCCTTAATGCCTTAGACTCGAGACCCTCAACACGAGATGCTGCATCGTTTCTGTGTAAAACAGTGTATTTGCGATCCAAAGAACTCTGTTTGAAATACCACGGGATTTCAGCCAATGGCAGTGTTGTGCCAGAGTCGGAAAAGCATTGATGTTTGCGTGCTACCTCCTCACGCCGCAGACGCCCACGCAGACAGGCAAGCGGTCGCTGCACATGAAGCACACGTACGTCGGCTTTACGATGACGCCCAAGCGGCGCCTGCGCCAGCACAACGGCGAGATCGTCCAGGGCGCGAAGAAGACGGCCAAGTACCGTCCATGGTACGTGGTGCTCAAGCCGATCGCTGGTCATCATACGAGCAAGCGCGCAGGGACATGCTCATCGTGGTCTATGGCTTTGCATCCAAGGTGCAAGCGCTGCAGTGTACGTACCCTTCGATTTCTGATCGTCATGGGTCACTCTGCCGCCAATGTACAGTCGAGTACGTGTGGCAGCACCCGTACAACAGCCGCTTCACCAAGACCGCGATGGCCAGCGCCAGGCACGTCAAGCGCTACGGCGGTATGCGCTCCGTACGACGCAAGCTCATTGAACTGTACTTGATCTTGGCGCTGCCGCCATGGAACGAGCTGTCGCTCACGCTCTCCTTCACGACGCCCGGTAGCACATCGAGTCCCATGCATTGGTGCGACAAGATCACGTAGAGATACAAACGCTAGCAGCGTCGATTGCACCAAGCGAGTTGCCTCCGAGCATGGTAACGCAGGTCGCGACGCTCGACACACTGCCACACGGGCCGCCGGGCAATGATGACGACGGCGACGATGATGACGCGCGGTGCTCCATTTGCATTGGCCCGTTCCACGAGAATGACGCGCGACTCATGTGCTATCACGTTGACTGCCCGATGCGCGCGCACATTGACTGCGCCCACGAGTGCTTTCCTGACGACGATGATGACCAACTGCACAGCGAAAAGCACGGGTATTGCCCATACTGCGACAACGAGCTGCACTGGGCGACTCTACTCCTGCATGCGTCCTCGTCGACACTGCTGCTGCCACCCGCGAAGAAGAAACGCCGCGTGAGGACGGCATCGTCGCAGAGCCGGCCAGAGCCGCCCCAGAGCCAGCCAGAGCCGCCCCAGAACCAGCCAGAGCCGCCCGACGCGACAAGTGCTGCTGCAAGCCTGGATGCTTCGGCGCCATCGCACACCTCCCATGCCGAACTCATTCTCGTATCCGACTCGGACGAGCCGTCGATTGTCGACTTGACAGGAGACGAGTAGTTGAACTAACACCCCGAAATGTTGTATGACGTGGCAGCCTCCTGTGGTCGCACCCGCCGCGTCCGTTATATTTGGATGCAGTTTCAGGCCGGCGATGGACGGGGCATGGACCCGGGACCTCTGCGCGTGGACCCACCGGATCTCGCCAACAGGCTCTTGGACCTTCCGAGCCCAACACACGTACGTGGGATGGGACAACATGAAAGATGTGCTATGGGTGGTACTAGATCGATACCGCCGCCCCCCGCCCCCGCCCCATCTTTCCGGGGTCACCGTACGTGCACCCCCAGCTTTATGGCTTGCAAACAAATGCTAGGATTTGGCATGGCGAAGCAACGTCTGTGCACCATCGTGTGCGCCGGCCGCGCGCACCACCGTCACCGCCACGTACGCGACGATGCGAACCCTGTCGTCTGACATGTGGACGTAGCTGCTCCCAAAGCCGTCGAGCTCAGCGTACTCGTGCTGTCTGCCAGCATGCTCTGGGTTGTTGGCGCTCTCACCACGCTCTGGCTGGTGCGCTTTCCCTTTGCTATTTATCCGCTCTCGACGATCGCGCTGTTCGTCTGTCCGCAGCTGCTCTTTTACAGCCTAGTCAAAGCCCTTTTTGCGTAGCTCTCTGCTTGCCGTCGCAATCCCCTAACCACCACTCGAAATTCATTGTAAAACATGTATTCTAGTATACTACAGTCGGATAAATGTTTGGCCACATCGCCTCTATCAGTACGATCGTTGCCGCCTCACGACGTGGACTAGTGCCAGAGGTACCGCGGCGCAAAGGCCGTCCACGCCTCGTCTTGCATGAGAAGAATGCGCTCGAACTCCACCAAGTTGATCGCGCCGTCCTTGTCCGAGTCGGCGTGCGCAAAGCAGCGCTGCACGTCGCTCAGAAACGTGTGCACCATGCGCACTAGTCGATTCCATAACTATCAATGTATCAATGTGTCAAGTTTACCTGGCATGTGCGGAACGAGGTCGGCGACGCGGATCATGCCGTCGCGATCTGTGTCAAACGTGGCGAACACTGTTTGAACGAGAATCGGCCACTCGGCTGCATCTTGCTGGATCTCGTGCCAGTCGAGAAACGCGCAGCAAAACTCATCGAACGAGATGACGCCGTCGCCGTCAATGTCCATGCGACTCAAGAAGCTCTTCACCTCGCCCCACGTCAGCCTACACCACCTGAGCTCATGACGCTTGAAGGGTGTTTGTACTTGTAGCCGCCGTTCTGGAAGCCGCGCGCGAGGTCCTTGACGCCAATCGAAGACGCGCCGTCGACACAGATCTCAGAGAAGAGCACTGCGAGCTCGACCTTGCTCGCTTTGGACACGCGCTTGGTCATTTCGATAAACACTAGTAATACACGTTCAGACCACACAAAGGAAGAAGAAACGTACCAGCTTGCTGGAAGCCGTTGAGGGTGCGGTAGAGCTGTAGCCGCTGGATCATGGTGCCGCCGAGGTGCCGCGGGACCTGCCTGCGCGCGTCTTTGCGCTCCTTAAATGCTTGCGCCATCCACGGGTGGCGCAGCGCGTCGTGCGCGGTCAATCGCGCTTGGGGATCTCGCTCGAGCAGCTTGCGCACCTACGTATCCCAACATCAACAACAAGAATATCGCTCGAAATGTCGGACCAGATCTTTTGCGTCCGGCGAGACGTTTGCCCAGACGCCCGACTCGACATCGATGGGCGCGTGCAGAATCTGCTCGTCGATGAGGGCGCCTTCAAAGGGAAACGATCCGCTCAAGAGCCGATACAAAATGACGCCGCAGCTCCTGCTTCCACCATGAGACGCGTCAGGTCGATGTATCCAAGGACGCACCACATGTCGGCCGGCAGCGCATACTTGCCGTGGAGCACTTCAGGTGCCGTGTACAAGGGCGTGCCTCGGAGTCCCGACACGACCGCATTCGGCAAGACAAACGCGGCGCCACCGAAATCCGTGAGCTTGAGCGGCGAGTCCACTTGGTCGTCGGCAAAAAGGAAGTTCTCGAGCTTGAGATCGCCGTGCAGAATGTCGAGAAGGTGGCACTGCCACACGACGTGAAGGACGTTGAGCATGTAGGACGCGGCGCGGTCGTCTTCGGTCGCGAGCGTCGTCGTCGTGAGGCGCGCATACGCCTCGCCGCCGACGCAGTGCTCCATGACGAGGTACACCGCGCGGTCGTCTTCGTACGCGCCAAAGTAGTGGACGACGTTGAGCGTGCCGCCAAGCAGCATCATGATGCGGGCTTCTTGGCGCAGCGCGACAAAGTCCTTGCGCGACGCCAGCCGATCTTTTTGGATGACCTTGACCGCCAAGTCGAGCGTCACGGCGTCGTCCGTAGGCGCTACTTGGTACACAGTGCCAAACGCGCCTTCGCCGAGCTGGGCGCCGAGCGTGTACTTGGTGCGAAACGTGCGCGGGTAGCCAAAGTCAATGTCACGCGGGTCCGTGAAGAAGGCCGCGGTCTCGAGCGCGACTTGTTGCAGCGCCGGAAAGGCCGCGAGCCGCCGGACGCCATTGCGCCACTCGGTGCGAACGCTGCCGATCGAGACTTCCACGTCCGCGCGATTCCACGCGGCCATGCTGCTCATGGACCGGCGGCGGACCGTCCTCATCATCGCCACGCTGCGCATGACGTCGACGACAGGGCGATGATTGGTTGCTTTTTTGAGCGTCGAGTCCGGATACACTCGGTATCCGGAGAGGCGATGACGCGCCGCTGTCGATTTTCACGTGAGAATCGCCAATGGGTGGCAAGATCGTGGACCATGATTTTCACACTGCACTTGCCCTTCACCATGCTTCGGTGCCTAGCCCGGTCCGAGTAGCCACTGCAACGGGCGCGTCCCTTCCACCGGATCAGTTTGAGACCGCATCTCGCCACGCTACCATGTGCATGTACAAGGCACCAGAGCTGAAGACGACATTGGATATGGCCTAGAAGGCTAAGGACACGGTCGAGGCGGCTGGCGTCAACAGGCCGGTCGATGGACTGCATGCACGGTTTGAAATGGCCGCCGATTTCGCGAAGACAGGCGCGGGCGGGGCGCGCATACAAAAAGCAAGCTACAAGCAGCGGGGCGCCGCACAGCAACCGCATCAAGTTGAAGTATGCCGGTGCCACGACCACATGCTTCTCTCAGACTTGATATGACTGCGTTATCCGGACGATCATTATCCGGATGTTATTACAAACCTACGAGAATTTGTTTTGCGAAGGATGTTCTCTTCATTTTTGCTCATTTTGGTTTTTGCTTGGACGTGCAAAGATGGCTTTTGAGAAGATTCACGTGGAGAACCCGATCGTCGACCTCGACGGCGATGAGATGACGCGCATCATCTGGCAGCTCATCAAGGACAAGGTAGACGCATGTAGATGCAGGAGTGTGGTGCTAAGCAGCACATGTAGCTCATCTTCCCGTTCTTGGACCTCAAGACCGAGTACTTTGACTTGGGTGTCGAGTACCGTGATGAGACCAACGATGGTACGACCGCATGGCCTCGCCGAACATGGCTCATCGTGATGAGCGAATAGAGGTCACGCTCGCTGCTGCCCGCGCCATCCAGAAGCACAACGTTGGCATCAAGTGCGCGACGATCACGCCCGACGAGCAGCGCGTCGAGGAGTTCAACCTCAAGCAGATGTGGAAGTCGCCCAACGGCACGATCCGCAACGAGCTCGGCGGCACTGTCTTCCGTGAGCCGATTCTCTGCAAGAACATCCCCAAGCTCGTGCCTGGCTGGAAGGACTCGATCATCATTGGCCGCCACGCGTTTGGCGACCAGTACAAGGCGCTCGACTTTGTCGCGCCGGGCAAGGGCACGTTCAAGATCACGTTCACGCCCGAAGACTCGAACGGCAAGACGGAGGAGTACACGGTGTACCAGTTTGCGGATGCGGCCGGCGGCGTCGGCATGGGCATGTACAACACGAAGGAGTCGATCACGGGCTTTGCGCGCGCGTGCTTGGAGTATGCGCTCGGCCGCAAGATGCCGCTGTACCTCTCGACGAAGAACACGATCTTGAAGCGCTACGACGGCATGTTCAAGGACGTCTTCCAGGAGATGTACGACACGGAGTACGCTGCCGCATACAAGGCGGCTGGCATCTGGTACGAGCACCGCTTGATTGACGACATGGTCGCGCAGTGCCTCAAGTCCAAGGGCGGCTTTGTGTGGGCGTGCAAGAACTATGACGGCGATGTCCAGTCGGACATTCTCGCGCAGGGCTTTGGCTCGCTCGGTCTCATGACGTCGGTGCTCCTCACGCCGGATGGCAAGACGATGGAAGCCGAGGCGGCCCATGGCACGGTCACGCGCCACTACCGCGTGCACCAGAAGGGCGGCGAGACGAGCACCAACTCGATCGCGTCCATCTTTGCGTGGACGCGCGGCCTCATGCACCGCGCCAAGCTCGACAAGAACGACAAGCTCCAGACGTTCTGCGAGCAGCTCGAGGCGACTGTCGTCGAGACGGTCGAGGCCGGTCAGATGACCAAGGATCTTGCGCTCCTTATCCATGAAGACAAGATGGAGCGCAAGCACTGGCTCAACACGTTCGAGTTCCTCGACGCGATCGCCGCCAACCTCACGAAGAAGCTCCATGCGTAATTTGTTTAAGGGGGTTATAAAGCTTGTTAGTTCTCGTCGTCGCCGTCGATTCGAGATGCTTGGAACGATGAATCCAGGCGTGTTGCATCCCTTCATGTCCCGAGAAATCCACTGCCGATCCTGCTCCTCCCGCCTGCACCCAAGACGCCATCGTTGCAGATAGCAAGGGCCAGCAGCTGTCGGGATTACTAGGCGTCACATAGACCCGTCGTTGTGGATAATCCTCCTCGACAGCTCGACCTCGGCAGCGGGGATGGGACCACCAAGATGATGATGACGATTGTCGACGTGGTCTGGTCGGTTCGTTTGTTCGCCCACTGATGCTTCTTGGGTGACTTCCTTATGGGTGGCATCGTCATCGCCCATTCATGTTGACGCAGCCGCAGCGCGCAGCACGGACCATAGAGACGGTGTGCACAGGATGAGGATCGTCTTGGTTGGAAAATGGAAATGTGGTGTGAAATTAGCCAACGGGAAGCACCCGTTTTTGTCATCCGGATACAACGGGGCAAGCGGCGACGCACAGAGCAAGAGCATGAGCGACAACGAAGACGAGAGCAGCATGTCCGAGCACGAGCTCCTTCGGACGCTCCGCGCGCTCTCGCAGCAGACGACGGACCTGCCGCAGGCGCTTCGAGGTACCCCATGATGCTAGGACGAGAAGGCTCACCTGTCTGAAAGGCTTGCTGGGGCAACTGGGCACGGATCTACCGGTACGACGATCGTCGCCGGTGGGCATGGCATGCGAGGGCTCATGGCCGCCTTACGTGGTATAGATCTTTGACCTGAACCCGCAATACCGCGACTTGCTCGAGCGCATCAAGCCCGGCAGCCCCGTCAATGTCCAAACGGTAGAAATACATGGTTTCCTCGCTTCTTACGGCCATGAGCCTGTAGGCGAGCCTCGCGGACCTCGTCGAGATGCTTTCGATGACGACAGAGGAGATGTTGACGATCGCGGGCTTTGATCTGCAGGCTTTCGTCCCGGTACTTGCGACCCTCATTCAATCGCCTGCGACCATTGACGTGCTGCTCCACGCCTCGCGGGCGCTTGCGGCGCTTCTCGACATGTACACGTCGCCGACTGTATTGGACCTTACGCTGCAGTCGGACGTTGTCGCGAGTCTTTGCGAGAAGCTCCTCAACATTGAGTACATGGACGTGGCCGAGATTGCGCTGCGCATGCTCGAGCGCATCGCGTCGTCGACAGCCGACGGCGTCCGGTCCCTCGTCCTCGATGAGAATGCGCTCATCGCGCTGCTTCAGTTTGTCGATTTTTTCTCGACCGACGTCCAGCGCGGCGCCGCCCGCACCGCCGCCCTCCTCTGCACGGCCGTCCCCATGGCGTCCTGGACGCAAGTGGAAGCCGCGCTCCCGCTTTTGCAGAATCTCACCAAGTCGTACGACGCGCAGATCGTCGGCTCGGGCTGCGAAGCGCTTCAGCGGTGCGTTGTCTACTTCAATATTTCAAGGTTTCAACTGTGTGGTTCAATCCTATTAGACTCTGCGAGAGCCCATGCGTGCGTGCGACGCCGTCGATCCTCGACCACGTCGTCGACACGCCGCTCGAAGCCTACCTCCTGGAGCAGCTCGTCACGTATACGCAAGCGCGCCGGCCCGACAACATGGCGCTCGCTACGTACGCAACGCTACTGCACCTCTTTGGCGTGCTGTGCCATCTGCGCGAGTCGCCCTTCCTCGTGTCGAACGCAGACGTGCGCTCGGTGCTCTTTGCCGTGCTCTCGTCGCATGGGTCGTCGCAGGTCGTCGACGAAGCGCTCTTCTTCCTTGGCGCGATCTTGCCGACCGAGCATGCCTCGTCGGCCTACGTAGACGCTGTCGCCGGCCTCGTCGAGACCGTGGTACCTTCCCTCTTTGCGTCCTACGACGCAACCCACGACGCCAAGTACCTCGGGAAACTCCACGTGCTCGTGACGTTTCTTTCGCACAGTGTCTTGAAGCACGATCGTCTTCTCTGTCATTTTGTCGCGGCCAGCGTCCAGCGCAATGATCCGACCGAGATGGCGCTGGCCGAAGCGCTCATTGGGCTCGCCATGACGCATGCGCCGTCAGTGTATGCACCGGCCTTTGTCCGCGACGGTGTCGTCGAAGCCCTAGCCGCCAACCCGGCCTACGCAACGCTCGTCGCCACGTCGTTTGCGTCGGCGCCCACTACAAGTGCTGTCCTTGAGGCACTCCGACACATTGTCCAACTGCAGCATACCGATGAGGTGTGGCAGAGCCTGCAGACCCTCCTCGCCACCGAGACACCGACGCCGTATGAGCTCCGATCGAGCGGCCTCGTGCCGTCACTCCTGACGCGCCTGCGGGACGCACCGTCCTCTGCAGCAGCGTTTACGCAGTGGCCCATTCTGGCGTCAGTGCTTCGCGATGCAATTGGTGTCGAGGTCCAGAGCCTCGAGGCGGGCGATGCGACGCTGATGGGCCTCGGCTCGACGCTCTCGATGGTCGAGCTGCTCGGCCAGCACCTCAAGATGCGTCTCCGCGCCGAGTCGTCGACCAAACCGCTCGACGCGGTCGTGCTCGTGGAGCCCCTTGCCCGCATCGAGACGCTGGAAGAGTTTGTGGCCGACAAGGTCTTTGGGAAGGCCGACTTGGTCCGTGCCGAAGACGACACAACGAACGACGAGCCGGATGACGCCGGCTTTGATCCCAGACCACCCTCGCGCATGCAAGTGCTGCTCAGTGGCATGCCCGTGCCGTCCGAGTGGACGGTCATCGAGGCGCTCGTACGCTCGGCGCCGCAGGAGACATTGCCCGTCGACGTTAGCGCGCTGTGGCAAGCGCCCCAAGTGCTCACGTTCGTCCCACGCGCCGCGACCGAGACGGAAACAAGTGTCGGCGTCGATGATGCGATCGCCGAGACAGACACGGCGACGCCGTTCTGGGCCTACTTGGACTTGCTCGCAGTGCTTTGTAAGGAGGCACCGACCGTTGACGTGGTGCAGCCGGCGGTCGCCGCGTACATTGACTCGTGTCTCCTGCAGCCGATGCTCGTCGTGCTCGAGCTGCTTCCGCGCAGCTGCCGCCGCATCGTCCAGAACTATGCGTTTCTGCTGCCGCGGGAAACCAAGCTGCATTACCTCTACGGCACGCGCTTTGGCCCCGCCCGCGCGCTGCAGTACCTCGGCCGGACGCTTTGGAAGCACGCGGTGCGCCGGCCATCGGGGACACCGGACAATGCGCTCGCGACGGCCGTCTCTCGGGTCGCGAAGCTGCCACGACTCAAGGTCCGCGTTGCCCGCGCCAAGCTCCTCGCGTCGGCCAGCAAACTCCTGCACGCGTACGGCGGCATGAAGGCGATCATCGAGATCGAGTACCTCGGGGAAGTCGGCACGGGACTCGGCCCGACGACCGAGTTCTTTTCTCTTGTGTCGCGTGAAGTCCAGGCGCAGCACCTCCGCCTCTGGCGCCACGACGGCCCAATGACCGAGCGCAAGGCCAGCATCGACGAGAAGGTGCTCGCGGCCAACGCCCACGCCATGCCCGTGCGCGGCTACCACCGCATTGCCGTCTTGCACTGCCCGTCCTGCGCGGTCGTGACGTTTCCGCACTGCACCAACTGCAAGTGTCTCTGCACGGGCAACGATGGGGTCTGTGCGAGCTGCGACGCGCCGCCGTCACTGGCATGCCAAACTGCGAGCTGCGAGGCCAAAGAGATGACGCTCTCGTTTTGGATTCTGAGCAACGACGAAGTGGCGTACCTTGCGCGCGCGTACCCGCGGCAGAAGGCAAGCGTCCGCCACCCGATGCTCAAGTGCAGCCATTGCCACACGGTGAGCTTCCCGGGCACCGACTCTGGCATCGTCGTTCTCGATGGAGACCGCATGGTGTCGCGGTCAGGCCGCCGCATGTACGAGCGCGACTACCGCGCCGTCACCAAGCACGTGTCGGCGCTCTGCGAAGGCACGCCCCTCAAGCAGGTACAACAAAGTCGCATTCTTTCTGGTGTGCAACGTCGCGGACGTCTGTAGATCAACGTCCAACTGGACAAGTCGGCGGTTGATGTCCTCATCGCGCTAAGTCCCACCACGCCGGAAGTGCTCGACACCCAAGTCGACGGCCTCGGTATCGACGCGTCGTTCAATACGGACGTGGTCATGGTGCATGCGCCGCACGGCCTGTACCCGGCGCCGCTCCCGTCCAGTGACGAGCCAAAAGCGACCGTCCTTGGGTGGTTTACGTTTCTGGGCAAGCTTGTAGCGCAGGTATCTCGATACGATGTGAGCTATCCTGATGCATTGTGTTTGTAGGCACTGCTGGACGAGCGCCTCCTCGACCTTCCGCTGGCACGACCGTTCGTGCAGGCGCTGCTCGGCAAGTCGCTGGTGAGTGATTTGGACGCGGCGCTGGACCATGCCCGGGCAGTGGACCCTGCGATTGGCGCGTCGCTGGACTATCTGCACGCACACCGCGACGACCCAGCGATTGACGAGATGGGCTTGAGCTTTGTGCTCTTGGGCAACGCTGACGTGGAGCTCTGCGAAGGCGGCGCTGCCAAGCCAGTGACCCGCGACACTGTGGCCGAGTTTGTGCGCGCCAGCCTCGAGATGCTTTTGGAAATTTCGATTCGCGACCAAGTCGCAGCCTTCCGCGCGGGCTTTGGCAGTCTTGTGCCACTGGACGCGCTCGACTGCTTGTCGGCCGACGACTGGCTCGCGCTGCTCTCGGACCCGACGACCGAGCTCTGGCCCGGCGGCGCCGACGAGCTCCAAGCGCACATGGTGTGCGACCACGGCTACGGCAGTGAGAGCCGAGCCATCCGCTGGCTCGTCCAAGTGCTCACGGAGCTGACGCCCGACGACCAGCGGCTCTTTGTGCGCTTTGTCACGGGGTCGCACCGCCTGCCGCTGGGTGGGCTGGGGAAGCTCTCGCCGACGCTGACGGTCGTGCGCAAGCTGAGCCCGGACGAGTCGTCTCCGAGCGACGAGATGCTGCCGTCGGCGTCGACGTGCACCAATTACCTCAAGCTGCCCGACTATAGCTCGATCGACATTTTGCGCGCCAAGCTCCTGTACTGCATCCGCGAAGGGCAGCTCAGCTTCCACCTCTCCTAGTCGAACGGTTACCGGTCTACTCTAGTACATGTTTTGTTTTTGGCTCGTCTTTCCGTGTTGATGAGAAGCGGACAATGCATGACGCGACCAGACACCGCTTGAGGAATGCTGTTGTTAGCCTAGGGGTAGGCAAACACTAGGATTCGAATCCAGTCCCACTCCGTTGTGACTGCCCAGGACCAGGGACAACATCTGTTGGGTCAGACAACGTCTCTCAGAAAGTGTGGTGAGAAATCCGCGCTTTTCTTGCTTCTTGATGGCACCCGGCAGCTCTTTTTCAGTGCCGTATTGGGATGACTACGTTAGTTGGAAGCATTGAGAAGTGTGCTCTAACTTTGTGGTTTCGCGCATTCGGTACATGTAGTTGTACAATTGTACGGTAGCTGGCTGCGCTGGTTGCCGGTCAGTTGAGAGCCTTTGGAGAAAAGTGGTTTGAGTTGCGACATGTCACTCGGTGCATTTTCAGATTTTCTGCCAGTCGCCAATTTCGCCAGCAAGAGCCAGCAAGTCGGATGCCTCGACCCGCGCTCCTTGCCCTGCCGGTGAATCACTGCGTGTAGAGTAAGTTGGGCAAAAAGAGCGTCCGTAGTTGCTCCTGGCTATGACATGCCGGGCACAAGCGATGAGCACGCCGTGCCGCTTCAGCAAGTACGCGACGACAGCGACGACCGATTGCGCCCCATTTTCTGACGTATCCTACTGCATCGTCGACAACAACTGCTCGGTACTGTGTTCTGTCGTCGTTGTATGGCTCAAGGGCGACCGGAATCGTAGGTCATCAAGAGGTACAACTCGAGCGATTTTCAAAATTCCGATTACGAGGGAAACCTGGGAATGGTCCTCGAGATTACCAGTACGTGTCGAATCTTCACGGAGCCATTGCATTGTCGACGTATAGATATTTCCGTCGAGCACGTGGCCGATCTGCCAGCCGAGGTTCCGAATCTGGCCATGTACACGAGTTTTACTTTAGTGTTTCTGACTTTCTCGATAGCACATTTGCGAATGCGACGGTAAAGACGCTCGGCAACTTTTCGTCCGCGACAAACGTGACCGGCTTGTACAACAAAAAGTCTTATTCATTGTACCAACTGACGTGCAATGTAGTTCGATCGAGTCCAACAAAGTTGCCTTGGACGTTTCGAGCGTGGTCTGGCCGCGTTCGCTGCAAATGCTGTACGTGATTCATTATCCAATAAAACGCATGGGAACCTCACCATATACTTCAAGATTGATCCATGGTGCTGGATTGCGCTCTGTGCCAAACCTCACGGGGATGCCCAAGCTCACCTACTTGTAAAGTCTCCTTTTCTAAGTATTTTGCACACGATTAGTGCACTGAAATTGTAGATCGTTGGTGGGGAACAACATCGAGACTCTTCAAGACCTCGACTTCCGCGCCATGACGCACATGTAATTCCATGTTCTGTTTCCTCCAATTTTTGACACGGTTGGCAGGAGCTTTGTCGAAAACCCCATCACCAAGGTGTACAATGTTTCGCTCGGAAAAGACGCCATGGCACTGTCAGTCGCAACCACAACCTCTACTGTCTCCAAGGAGTGCATCTAACGTGTATTGGGTAGGTCCCTCTACGGTGCCAGTATCACCACGTTTACGGTCGACCCCGCCACCTATCATGTGCTTCGAGACCGAACGATCATACAATCGTATTTCGCGAAGACCATCGATACGTCGCCCACTTGCAGCCTGCCCAACAC